TGTACTTATTCATGTGTGCTCAATATATTTTTGGAAATCCAGCTCGGTGAAGAATTTATGCAGTGACTAATATCACGTATATCATGTATAAAACTTTGTCTAGGACGAAAAGTAGGCTGATAAAAAGTAATACGTAGAATATACAGGAAAATAAAGAATAGAATATACTTTACCCCCATGTTATACATATGATTTTTCCGTCCCCCTCAAATTAAGAGTCATTTTCAAACAATTGATTGATAAAAGTAACAAAGATGTAGGTATACGCAGTATAACTTATGGTCACGTTATTTTCACTCTTGCATCCTACATATTTTCTATTTGTGGTAGAGTAATAATCATATAAACTAATGTCTTTCGCCATATCGAATCCGCCATCTTGAATTTCCCAATTTTGACGAAACGATCATTATCTCCTACCCCAGAAACCCCCAGATACCAATTTTGAATGGAATCGAATCTCCATTACAAAACTCGTCCACCATAATGGATCCGCCATCATGAGAATCCCAATTTTGACGAATTAATTATAATCTCCTCCAATTTTGATTTCTGAATAGAATCGGATCATAATTACAAATTTCGTTCGCCATATTGGATCCGCTATCTTGAAATTCTCAATTTTGACAAAAAATCATAAAGTTCGACCCCGAAAACCCCCCGATATCAATCTTAAATGGAATCAGATCATAACTAGAAATTTCTTTCGCTATACGGGCTGATTCACGGTGGCAGCGCTGAGAATATTTCAGGTCGATAGTACACAACTAATTATTCAAGGCACCAACTTTTCAGAATAATCCTGAGTTGCGTTTTCCAGAAACGTCTAATGTGCCATCCACCGTGAATCAGCCTGTATATTGGATTGGTCATCTTGAATTTTCCAAGTTTGACGAAACAATCATTATCTCCAACCCCGGAAAACCCCAGATATCTTCCAATTTTGAATTGAATCGGATCATAATTACAAAACTTGTTCGCCATATGATCTTCAACAAGTAAACACCCTGTACATACCTATTATTGAAATTTTGAATGATTTTCTGTAGCGCCCATGGATGTGACGTGACAGCAATGTCAGTGATGCCAGTAGAAAAAACTAAAGTCTCTAGATCATTAAAAAAGAATGCAGCTATGATCTGTCCGTACCCTGTTGAGATGACTTCAACGTCAATTTTCATCAAGGGACCCTATGCAACAAGACAGCAGGTGCATAATGGGGTTGTACACTCTAATCGAATTCACGCCACATACCTATTTTATATTGATCAGTCCGTGTGTGAATAGTATTTGATGCTATCAGTTGTTATTTAAAATCATCCAAAATACGTTTTTTCATTAATTGAAAATCAGAACCTTCGAAAAACGCCAGGTTTCATGACGTCATCAACCTGCTGGCACGGAGAATAGTCATCGTTGCCAAATTTATAGCCAGTAATTACCTATATGAGATTCAATATCACCAATGACAGAGTATTTACGTTCGCAAAAGACAATGTGGCCACCTGGTTCCTGATAATCACTAAGTGAATACTTATATACCTTGCAAGATGATGATTCAGTGTCAGTAATAATATCCTAATATTCGTTATAATGATCATAATTTTATTCAAACCCAAACTTTTTTGTGAGTCTGGCAACAGCGCAATCGTCAAAATATCAATAGAGAAGAAGAATTATTCTAACCTAACCTAACGTAGGCCGTCTGGTTGGTAAACAAAAACAAATCAAAGACACGTTTGTTTACTTGAGGACTTTGTGGGTTTTGGAAGCCTTTTAGAGTATTATTTTATTGAGTCAGATTAAGTTTTGTTTAGATTAATTATGAATAATGAAAACTCACTGTGATTTTGAAAAGAAAATGCCAGTAACATGTATTGTGGTGGGACCATTTGATGTTTATTTCCTTTCCTACTGTGATACTGTGAAAAACTCTGTGCATTACCCACAGATGAAGGATCTATCAGGAAAAATAAGGGAAATGTGGATAGCAGCCATCAAGAGAAAGAATCAACAACAGAAACATTCATAATAAACCAGAGGATAGCAGACACTATTTTCATAACAGGTACTTGAGAAAAAGGATTTTAATATTTTTCATATGTATCTACCTACTCTAGAACTGATGAATTTAGTATTTCATGCTATTGAAAACATATATCATTTTTCTTTTTGATGAAAGAAGCCAATACTCATTACCTTTGATGGCCCTACATGGTTTGGAAACATCATGTTTTCAATACACACATAATTTATTTACCTTGTAGGAGAACCTAGTGCCTGAAAGATGAAAATCATCCAGCTTGGGCAGTATAATATGGATCATCAATCTCTAGCCCATTCAAAACACAAGACTGATGTGGATCATAAACTGAGAGCAGAGAAAAGGTTTAAATCAGAAATCCAGTAATAAAGCATCTGAGCCAAGAAACCTGGTATGTTCCCAAGAAAACATCTAATTACCTACTTCACTTTAATCATGAAGCCTTGCTTTATTAGTAAACTAGGTATATTGATATGTAACATTTTATATTCATTTTAGTGTAATGAAGAAAGTGTCTGGGAGAGGAAGACATAGTAGAGATAATTGGTGAAAATGAGGTGAAAATCTACAATAGATTCCATATTATACTTTTACAAATTATAGTTTGTTGTGATTTATTTTTATTGATTATAAATGAAAAACAAATATAGTAAGTACTTATATCCAAATTGTAATATTCAATTAATGAAAAATACAGTATTATTCCACAGTAGGTAATGTATATTACAAGAGATCTACATAGGTCATGAAAAAATCTTCATAGACATAGAACATTATAGGTATTCAGTGATCTGATTGAAACAAAAATGAACAATGGTAGAATGATATATTATAAATAGGTAGATATTTTTTTATAGAACTTGTTAAATCAAAATTCACAAAACCATGCCAACTTTGGATGCTTTGGTGTACCTAAAATATATACACATTAAAAATGGAACCATTTGATTTCACTTTATCACTGTCACAACTATTCATAAGCACTAGAACACTTATACCCATGGACATAATATAAAAAAAACCAATAGTTCTTATGTGCATGTACTCTTCTAATAACTCTTTCAACATGAATTCTCAGAGATGCTATAATTTTGCTATTTTGTACTTCTTGTGGTGTAGATTTCATTTGTGATGATACACTGGGTGGCCTAACTAACTCACAACCTTTCTCAGTGTGGCAATATGTTTAAAGCCTCTATCAGCCAAAATCTTGATAAAGTTCTATTGCATAAATTTCAGTTTCTTTATAAATGGCTTTTGTATGTCTGTCTCTAATCTCCTCAGCAATCTCATCAAGATCAGTTGAACTGTTTAGCTCATATTTCCTTGTAGGAGATGAAAGAGATTCAGATAGTGTATATGAACTTGAAAATGAAGGTTTCATACAATAAGGTTTGATCACACTCTTCTCCCTCAACTTGATATGATTCATTGGTTGGGTACATCATGAAAAGTTTTATTTTCCATATTTTCACCTCTACTTCTGAATGGCCCTTTTATATTAGTCTGAATAACTATTTCTTCCTCAACCTCAATGATGTCAGGAACTGTGATATAGATGTATTTGCTACATTTTTGGATGATGAGGGTTCTGCACTTAGTTCTGCATAATCTGATAGCTGTATTTTTCGTTTCTTCCAAACATTTTCCAGCAACTCTGCTTTCCTTTTGTTTCCCTTATCACTCTCATCAGTCAGTACACTTCTTTTGTATGTCGTATGTGGGTGGCGATACATTCAAGAACTTGTGTGGCACTGCATGAGGTTTCAGCTTGAGTGTTGTTCCAATGATTTTGGAAAACATGCAATTAACTGAATTGTCTTCAAGCTGGAATATCGGAAAGTGACAAGGATATTACATTTCACAATGGGAACCCACATTGAAATGATCCTCACAGCAGTAGAGGTCATGTCCTGAAATAAATTCCAGATGCACTGCCAGTTCTTCCTGCGTTGGGTACTAGCCGGGACGGTCGAAAACAGTTTTTCAGGCGAATTCTCACTAGTATTTTGACAAATCGGTATAAAATATACGACAAGTATACGACTACGACTACCATAGGTTAGGTTATACGAAATCTTCTTCTCCAATTTTAGTATCATTACCAAAATATTCATCTCACATATTTTGATAAATGACAATCAGAAATATTTTTGCACTTGTCTAAGAGAGAGAGAATGGATATGTATGTCGAATCTTATATGAATTGATCACCGGCTGCCTACGTCACGCGCTTTCCCGCGTTTTTCATGTTACGAAATATCGTGTATTTCAATAATTATTTAAAAAATGTACAGAGCTCTGGGGAAAAAACGGTTCGCGATAGTGAACTAGTTAGGGTTAGTACTTCGAAATAATGAAATAACATTTTTCAGTGAAACAGGCCCATTGTCTCGGGCGCCCTGCGGCAGGCAATGCAATTTGTGTCAGGGACCTCCATACCCATGACACGGCTACGGTTTCCGATTTGAGCCCGCCTGACTTGAGAAAAGCAAAAGTCAGTCCTGTGGATAAGCCCCGGTCTTCAATGGTCTTGAAGTCGACCGAATGCATGGGCTTATCCATGTGAAGCTGCAGGATCTTCCTCACTTCTGCAGCTTTGATGCGGGTCTTTCTCCGAGCTGGCTCTAGCTCAGTAACTGAGTCCTGAGCCTCGCGCTCGGAGTCGAAAATTAGAGACAATTCATCAGCTTCTCGACGTGCTGCCCTAAAAAGAGAAGGTCCTATTCCTGCCTCTTCATAAGTTTTAACCATTTGCAGGAGGGGATCCGAAGTCCTGATGACTATTATTATTAATATTATTAATATCATTATTAATATTATTAATATCATTATTATCATTATTATTATCATCATTGTTTTTATTACCATTATTATTATTATATTCGTTTCAGTACAAAATCAATATTCATTACATCAATCTATGATATGTTTGCTTGTATGATTGTGATCTTACCTTTATGTTTGAGACTTTTGTCAATCGTTGCAAAAACAGCAGCAGCCTTTCCTACTGTACCACTGGTTACCCATGATTTCGTACCATTCAATACATAATGGTCACCATCTAACACTGCTGTACACGACATAGCTCCCACATCACTACCAGCATCTACAAAAATAATACCAAACATACAGTGTGGCCAAGATAAGGTTGCACAGCATGGGGAACTCGGAAACGGGACGAGATAAGTATTGTTAAATGAGAAAAGAGTTGCGAATTCTCAGGGTTATACCAACAGCCTTCGAAAATGTTCAAAATTGTTTTCAGTTTTTAAGTTATATCTAAGAAAGTAAATTTCCAGAAAATCTATTTTATCCTTCTTCTACGTTATTATTAGAGATATAGAAAAACTGAAAATACTTCTGCATAGCAACTTCTGATAAAATTCAACGTAGATTGTGAAAGCTTTTTTATTCTGAATTAAACCATGTATTCCAAATAGGAAATACCATCAGTTACATTTATATTTAATACTGGAAAGTAAAAAAAAATATTACACTAGAATACTAGATTATTCTATTTTTCATTTTTCATTTTATTGGCAACCGCGAGAAGGTGAGGGCATTGCCAATCCAAATTGCTCGCGCAGTGACGTCACACGTTTCGGGGCCACGTCTGGTTGTTTGAATTCGCTTGTTCATTTTGGCGTTTTCAATAATTTTTTATGCGATGAATTGATCAAAAAAAAATCTCAAAAAATCATTTTAAGGTACTCCAGAGCCATATACCGAGTGACCCGAAACCAATTTACCCCCCTGTATCATCGTTGCTATTGTGAATGGAAGTATAAAATTTGGTTCATCGATTTGATTGCATGAGTGTATGATTTTGCTAGTATCAGACGAAATATTACACTTCCGGTTTGACCGTTTTTGTATCGTTAATTCAAAATGCGTTGGAATGTTTTCCGACTTGGAACGAGGCGATTAGGATTAGGTCTCCTATACTCTCTTACTGAGGCTCTTGCGTTTTTTCTGTTACCGAGATACACAGTCAGTATATCCAATCTGACATGTTCACTATAATAATGCATTTTCACCATTGATTCGACGATAACTATTGAGCAACAATATCTATACTCAGGCCCAAGATTTACACTGACAGTGACATTTATGGAGAATACAGAATATTCTATTGAACAAAAAACAACACAACCCCTTAGAGACCAATTCATTGAGCCTCCCACATCGAAAGTTATATCAGAAAATCGGATATATCTTCGTAGTCGTTTGTCATAACCCTATCATACCCTATATTGTTGGATTCATTTTCAAAATCTTCAAGTGACTGTGGAATAAACTACAGGGTGTTCCGTTTAAATAAATCAACTAGAACCCTGTAGATTGTTTGTTTTGACCACCCTGTATTTTCTGATGTGGCAGAAATAAAATTCATGAAAAATCATTCCAGATGATTTTTCAAATTTTGAAATCGGTCCACAAACAGCTGAGCTCGAGGAGGGGACATTTATGGTGAATCCCCTGTACTAGTTGCGCACATTAAGAAAACCTGGTTCAATTAATGTAAAAAGTTAAAAGTTGAACAACCTTCTAATTGTTATTCGATAAATGATAATTGTTAATTGTCTCCATAAACACAGCGATTGAAAATAGCAAGTTCAACTCATAATTGATAACTGTTGTTTGATAATTGTTAATTGATGCTGCATAAATCCACACTTAGTCATCTTTACTTTTTTGACCCCATCAAATAGTTATTTATTGTACAAGGAAAAAAGTAGTAGATTTTAGCTCGAGGTTGTGATGTCTACCGACGCGTAGCGCGTAGCGGAGGGAGACAAAAAACCGTGAACTAAAATCTAATATTTTATCAGTGTATAATACATGTGACAGGAAGAAGGCCGAACCAATATTGAGAAGATGATATATTATATTAAAATCAGAAAATTATCGATGTGAAATTTGAAGTTTCCTAACAGGAATTACAACTGTGATGCAGGCATCTTTATAATTCTTTTGAAGTAATCAAATAGGTATGTATCTTAGATACTGTCTGTAGGTCAATCGAGGAGGTGGTATATTCATTATTCCAATTTTTTTAGGATTTTTTCTCCTCGTTTCTATAAAATGAAAATATGAATATTATTTCAATATACATGTAGTAAGGACAAATCAGATGATTTGCCCCAAAATGTCACTGCGTCTGAATAATTTTCTTATCGGAGAGCTTAAAAGGAAAATCCACTAGCTTGTCAGTGAATATTTGTATTGAAAAGTTTTGAGAAGATAAATAAAGGTATATAGAAAAAATATCTGTTCCCGTGTTCAACATAAAAAATGACTGACATGACACTGAAAAGAATTGTTTGTGTCGAAACTATTCATAATTGGTCAAAACGGTTTCAATGTCCCTATCTTAACTTTTCACGTACTATCAATTGAGATTTCATTGAAATAGATACAGGGTGGTCAAAGATCTCAATTCTGAACCACCCTGTATTTATTTCAATTAAATATCAATTGATAATGAATAAAATGTTGGGAAGGGGACATGAAAACCGTTTTGACCAATTATGAATAGTTTGGACACAAAAAATTCCTAAAGTTGAAAAATCTCGATTTTTCACATCCTATAACTCTGTGCGGCTCTTTGCGGCTTTCAACTTCCGCATAGTTTTTTTTTCATGAAAAATAACTCAAATAAAGGGGTGGGTGGCCTTCCCGATAGATAAACATGTACCCAATTTGAAATATCTATACAGAATAGCGACGAAGATACAGAGGGATAGATTGGTTCCGGGTCACCCGGTATTTCCAGATAATATATTTCCTCTAGAAATGACTGGAGAGGCTCGTGAGATTAGTTATCATCATTCATAATTTCAACCTGATGGAAATTTTGTGTTTTTTACTATATTTGGTTCATAATCGGGTGGATATGAATGTTACTTTTTTACTTACATAGATATACTACATAAGATACATGTACTATTAATAGATTTTTTATCAACCAAGATTTGATTTATCAACAGAAATTTTACAAGGGTAATTTTTTGATAATTTTAAGGAGATGCACGAATCTTTGGTGCAATCAAAAATTGATTATTTTTCAACTATTTCGCAAAATGCCCAGCGAAACCACATACTTCGGTTTTGCGTATTTTTGTTTGAACAAACCTAAAAAAAATATCGCTTCAATTTGCTACTAACAAATCATCAGTATGATACTAAAATGATCAGCAAGAATTAAACTTTGATATTGGTAGAAACAACTAACACGTCATATTTCGACATGTGAAAAAAATAATCATCATCATCATTCAACTAGATTCAAAACATGGGACTTCTCATTAGAGAAATTCTTTGAACAATGATGATTTCTCAGGTTAGTAGTGAACAAAATTAATTATAATGTAGAAAGAACAAATACCTGGTTCACTGAGGGCGAAACAACCCAAAGTCCCTGAGGTGAATGGTCTTAAAAATGTTTCTTTTTGGGCATCTGTACCACACTTATCTAGCAAATTCACATATAAGCAATTGTGCACTGATACAATAGCACCAGTGCCCCCACAAGCCCTGGATAATTCCTCAACAGCTATCGCTAGCGCAAGTGTATCTTGCCCTGCTCCTCCATATTTCTCTGATACATTTATAGATAATACGCCTAGTTCACCCAGTTTTTTTATCTGTAAATGAAAACAAAAAATTGTCAGAAGTGGCTTATTCATTTAATCGCGGGCGAACCCAGTGCTGAAAAAAATATACAGGGCGTTATCAATATGAATATATTATACAGGGTGTCCCATAGTGAAACAAAAAAACTTCAACGGTGGGTAGAGCTCATCAAGAAAAAAGTATGAATTGCAATATACGAAAAATGTACGGAATTTAAAAAAAATACGGAAATAAAATCTTTTTCGAAAAGTGTACTTTTTTAAATACTTTGAGGAACTAGGATGGGCGTCTACTCTTTGGTCACAATATTCAATGTGGTATACAGTGTGTCCCACTTACCATGCTCACCATGGGTATCTTTTTAACGGTGAGAGATACGAGGTCGGTTAAATGACACCAAATGTGGAGTTTGTCAAAGTTTGTTTTACACGCAAAAAACAGATTTTGATCATTTTTATGCCTCCTCCGTTACTTCTTTTTTTATGAAAATATTCAAATAGGAATTTCACATTCTCATGGCAGTTTTTCAAAGTGATTTCGAAAAAAATATGAAATTTATACCAACTCTTCTAAAATTTGAGATATCAGCACCAACTTTAGTTTTTCAAATGTAGGTCATAGCTCACTATGACTTAGTTACAAATAACTTTTTTTTCTCTTACAGATGATATGTCGCAGTTATAGTTTTGTGTTGATAACAACGGAGTTATCGTCATTTATACAAAAACAAAAAATTATTTGGAAGCCGCCATCTTGAATTTATAAATTTTAACAAAAAAATCATGATCTCCGTCCTCGAAAACCCCTACTTACCAATTTTGAATGAAATCGGACCAAATCCGGTGACAACACATTATGGAATTTTTGTTGAAATTGAAGAAAATGGTTGCTCCAAGATGGCGGACAAGATTTGGTCCGATTCCATTCAAAATTGGTGAGTGGAGTTTTTGAGGTCGGAGATCATGATTTTCTTGTTGAAATTTATAAATTCAAGATGGCGGCTTCCAAATAATTTTTTGTTTTTGTATAAATGACGATAACTCCGTTGTTATCAACACAAAACTATAACTGCGACATATCATCTGTAAAAGAAAAAAAATTATTTGTAACTAAGTCATAGTGAGCTATGACCTACATTTGAAAAACTAAAGTTGGTGCTGATATCTCAAATTTTAGAAGAGTTGGTATAAATTTCATATTTTTTTCGAAATCACTTTGAAAAACTGCCATGAGAATGTGAAATTCCTATTTGAATATTTTCATAAATAAAGAAGTTACGGAGGAGACATGAAAATGATCAAAATCTGTTTTTTGCGTATAAAACAAAAACGAATAGATTTTATCAAAATATTTTTTCACATTATAGTTGGCCTTGACAAACTCCACATTTGGTGTCATTTAACCGACCTCGTATCTCTCACCGTTAAAAAAATACCCATGATGAGCATGGTAAGTGGGACACACTGTATAGTGCCACATTATAAAATGAATACCAATAAGTTACATCACTTGGATTCTTTGGATAAGTGCAGTTGTAGAAAAAGTATAGTATCTAAATTTGAGATTATCCCTCAGGTGATGATCCACGGTATTCAAATCGGGTGATGTTGAAGTCCAGAATGTTCATGACTTGAATCTGTGTATTCTTCTAAGGTTACTACCCAGGAAGCAAGAAGAATCATGCAGAGAAATGAAAAACAATCAGGATGTGATCCGAAAATCAAAGGGAAACCGAGAGGGAAACATTACATAAGAAAAGAACATGTTTGGATCAAAATGGAGGGCAATGAGCAATTGTCAAAATTTTCATATGTCAAGTTGAGAAGGTAGATATTTTTGATGTTTTGATATTTTTGATGTTCTGATATTAGAGGGAATGAAATTGTTTCAACAGTGATATATTATTATGTCGATTGATTTTTTGCCACAAATACATGAGTAATCAATAGTACAATTGGAATATGTGAAGACATATTGGAGTATTCAACCAGGTTACAGTTTTTTTTTTATGTTCTGTTTCCCACGATGACTGGTCAATACGATATCAGACCAAAATGCGGTAATTTTTGGTATTCAGGAAAACTCAAAACATTAATGCGCATTAAAGCTGAAATTCATTAGTGAAAGAGTATGCAGGATAATAAAGAGTACACAAGATCATTCAGATTTTTGTGAACTCTTCGAATATGAAAGCAGATTTTAGAAAATTCGAAAATACTGAGTTCTTTTAGGTGCCCAGAATATGATCAATTTTTGCTAATCCGGACCTGGATTTTCCTCGTGACTGATAGGTGAGTCGCTTGGGTACAAGAAGGAGCACTTATACGCCAAATTTCAAAAGAATATACTGGGTGGTTCGTATGATAATTTGTGTTATTCGATTGGAAAAACTAAAAACATTCCATTCATTCCCATCCAAAAGCATAAAACCTCAAATTCAAAATCAGAACTTCTTTAGTGAAATTGCATGCGGAAAAATGAAAAGTACACCGAACGATTCATCTATTTGTGCACTTTCCGAATATGTAAGTAGATTTTTGCAAATTCGGAAATACAGGGTATCCTTCTTGGGGTCCAGAAATATAATTAATTCTCGTTAATCCGGACTTGGATTTTTCTCGTGACTGATAGGAGAGTCGCTTGAGTAGAAGAAGAAGGAATTTTGTACCAAATTCCAAAAGAATGTACTGGGTAGTTCGTGGGTTATGTCGTCACAAAGATTTGAACAAAATATGATAAAACATCCCATATCTCGGAAATACAACTCGTAAGACCCCACAAATATGGTATATTCAGAATCACCCTGATGACCTTTACATACCGTTGAAATTTTTTCCCGGTTCCCAATGGGACACCCTGCATATGTATATATGAATATAATTAATCGCGTAGAATGGAATGACTTTGCTAGAAAGTAGATGTATCTTAGATCTGAGATGATTCAAGTTGAATAAGTTTTGAAATGGATCTCGTCACTGATATTTTGAAGAAGATATTTCAAGAAAACTTGGAAATCTGTGACGAACTGAACACGGTTGTTTCGTTATGTGCGTTTAACTCAAATATCCAAATGTAGACGACCAGGAATACACATCACCAGTAGCTAGTATTCGGATACCAACACCCGAGAGCTGCTGCTACCTATGTCAAATAGAAACCTCTTTTTTGTACGATCTCAAAAAGTTTGTAGAATAACGAGCAGATTAAAAATGGACATTATATCGCAAACAGTGTGAATTTGGTTAAGAATTACCACGCTTTAGGCGGTTAAATTCATAAGTTTTGGCAGTATGATTATGAGACTACGATGTGTATTGTGTAGTATTTTCAACTGTCAGAGTTTCTCAGTATCATGGGGATTTCGATATCTATTTTTCAATAAGGAAGTGAGAACGTCTTGCGATTATTTAGGGATACGATAATCGGAGGTGAGTTCGTTATTTCTTGTCTTTATGCTCCGTATTCTCTATCGACGAATACATGAAAAACTCAATATATAAATATACCTTTTTAAGCGTTTTTGGTTGGCGCGGAAATCAGGAAGTATAGTTTTCCCAAAGATTTCGCCGTATGAGATGAAATTCGACATCATCGTACCATTCTGTGTACCAAGTATTCTGGCGTTCCGGTTATGAGCTTATTCACAGCGGACTTCACCCTCTAACAAGGCTAAGTACCGCATAGCGGCTTGATATACTCACCTACAGGATTTGTGACAATGAACAAGTATTACTTTGACAGGCCAATATCCATGTTATAAGAACCGACACTTAGTTGCGTGGTTATTTATTGTTATATAGTGTTATAGTTATATATAGTCTATCATTCTGAGTTGTCGCCGTATATTACATCACCCTATACATTTTCATATAGGAGGCTGGATAAACTATCCTTATTCGACATTTCTTTCCACCCTCTTTCCCTCTCGCGAGAGTTAGCATAGTCACATAAGACATCCCCTCTGTAATTATTTTAGTTCTAGGTATATAAGTGTCGTCCCAGATTATGTAATAGTGCTTTTCCTTTTTCACAACAGGCGCGAATTTAATTTCCTTATGTGAATCACTGAAGTAGTATGTCCGATAATATATAGAATATATTTCAACTATTTTGTTTGGTTTCAATCTAGGGTTACCTATACCAGAGAGGTATCGTATATGTTCGATCTCTCTGTGAGTACTAAAAGGTTAGTTTTATAAAAATCTATTGGCGCCCTCTATTTCACCTCAATTTCGGACTCACCCCCTCTCCCTGTCAAAAGCTTACTGTGAGCAAAACATTATTCTCAATCTTGGGAACGTAACCACCATTCAAATAACCATCATTGGTGATTCTGATATTTTACGTAACACGGTACATAAATGTACCTACGATGAAAAACGGGCAAAAATCACTGAAATAAGAAAAAGGAATACCAAAATCATTATACTAAAAAGCAGAGTTCCTGAATGTACTCGACACTTTTGTTTTGACGAATTTGTATATGTAAACTACCTACTGACACTCGACAAGCAGTAACATATAACCACGAATGGTCTCCGATAACAATTGAATAGAAGATCTCAGAAGCATACATGTGCCACCCCTCAGTCTGAGCCAAATCCACGACACAGCGATTCATTTGCTGCTATTATTCTGGACATACTTTGGTCATGTGATAAGGAGTTCAAACAAAAAGCGAATGAAAGAGAAAAATGTCCCTTTTGCGAATATCCAAACGTTCTTCCATTCTAACTGATATAAGTTATTATTATTCATTATTTACGTGAATATTTCGACCTCGACCACTACAGGTTTTCTATTCCACATGTTGAGTTTTACACTGGTCCATCGGATATTATCTTTAGAGGGAGGCGAAATATTCTCAGAAATATTGACGCTCTGCCACTAACTTAGATCAGTTTGAATCGTAGAACCGTGGATTTGGCTCAGACTGAGGGGTGGTACAGGTGGTTTTTTGAAATCTACCATCCAATTGGTATCGGATGGCATAATTCTTAACTCGTTATGAAATCACGAAATCGAGTACAAATTTCTGCAAAGGAGAATGCAATTTTTCAACCAATTTGCTCAGAATAGTGATTGGCACAGGTACCGTTCGATAAACTACTATAATAATAATAATAATTTATAATAATAATAATTTATTCACTATGGTTCTACATATCAGATGACGGTCGAAAATTGCAGCCGACTCTTGGACTAGGAGTATATTTCTAATGGAGTTTTTCCGGAATTTTTCAACGTTGGTTAGATGAGGGGCGCATGCCAATTTTCCCAGAGTGTTTTTCTTACTGAAACTTCAATTCTTCACATCGGCATGCAATTTGAAAACACGGAAGTACTCTTCAATTTTATTCGGTTTTTCGAAACCCTTTTGAGCCCTTTCGGCCGCTGCGGATTGCATGCCATCAAATATTAGCGCTTCAGTTTGTTTGAACTTCTGTATATTACAACGGCAGGTAGTATAATATCGCGAAAAAAAAAAAAAGAAAATCCTTCACAGAAAGAAATGCGCTTTTCCTCATGAACTGCACACGTGCGGCGGCCTGGAACTCGTCTATTCTTTTATATTTTGGGGTTTATATAATATGTCGATGCTAGAAGCATATGCAATGAGACAATTCGATCATCAAAGGATGCTCATAATGCCAAAATAAAATCAAAACTTGTTGAATGTCCTAACGAATCCCGTTCATTTTGGTACTTCGCCAAAGCTGTAGGAAGAAAATTCACTTCCAGCTCGTTTCCTCCTCTAACCCAGGAACATGGAACACTATAACCACAACTGGTCAGGAGAAAGACAAACTACTCAATACTCTTTAATATTCTGCTGAATTTGAACAAGGAGTTCCTCACGGTATACACGTTTTACACATCAAATGTCCATACATATCTATCAACTTAGTTTTTTTAAACCTCAATGTATTTTGGGTATATTTTTTATTCGAGAGTTTCTATGAATGATCAGTGGTTGTTGAAATATATGTTTTTATTTGCCGTCTTCCACTTAAGGGGCCGAACTATAAACGTGTTTCAATGACTGTGAATAAAATAAGTAGAGAGCGGCATATGAAAAATATATTTCAACGATATTTATGCGACCTTGAATAATGAAAATACTGAGAAGTAGTTTAGTAGTCATACCGTTATGACAAATTAGTCAATAATTAAGTAGCTTTTTGCCGAACGTTCGAGAATGTTCATTTTTATTATTAGAACTCATAAAATGAAGCACATAAGTATGTTTCTTTGTGTGGACTTAACCTTACAAAATGAATATGTCATTCAATGCCTTCGCACCAAGTACGGACGTTTACAGTGTTGGCGCCATTAAGGTTTTTATCTGTTCGAAAAATGTTGAGGTTATGAGTATAGTGACGCAATGAATATTAAAATATTTTGTTTTCCCTCGTGTTTTCCCAACTTGTGAACCAATGCATCTGCGGAATTCTAGTTTCTAATATAATAAATAATGTTCATGTTATGTCACTATACCCAGTAGTTGGGTGATCTGTGGTTCTGGTTATGCATCAAATAATATACACCCAAGGGTACAAATAAAATGCAGTCCACCAGTTCAAACACTTTCCATATCTGGTATCATAAAATAATTTTGTACTGGGTATTTTGAAATAATTGTTGAACGCTAAAAAGCAAGGAAGATGTATTATTAACGATATTGATATCTTAATTTGGTTAGTGGAAATTTAGTTGATTTCTTGTTTCAATTATTATTTCTGTTCAATTTCTTAATACCTAACAATTGTGAAACCTTGTACAGATTCAAGGTTTCTATAAATGATCGTCACATCGTGGTTGCAATTGAAATATTTTTTTATCTAATTTTTCCTTTGTTATGAAATATGACAAATTGAAAATATTGATATGTTCTAGTTAGATTCCTCGTGAGTGAAAAGTGGCATGCTAATCATCAATAAAAACCTTGTATAATTATTGAATATTATCATTTGGTATTTTATTTATAATTTTTTTTATAATAGAATTTCTCCAAACTTCCAAAGGAGTCGAAAACAATAATTCCAAAGATGTCTATTCATTTCAACCTCATAAATGTTATTGTTAAATCTAATCATGGATTTCATAATTAGCTAGGGGCAAAGCTATTATGCTGAATATATGTTTATAAAATATATAATCTTGGTTAAATAAAAGATAAATTCCAAGATAAAATCGGAATATTTCAAGATAAAGTTGTACAAATTGTTTCTAGCTGGGTTTCCAGATATGTTTCTTTCCTAAACCTTTTATAAGAATGTCTATTTGATTGAAGTGTCACTGTAAGCATGCCAACTTCATTTATCAAGGTCATTCAGACTTAGTACAAAGAGGTAATCAATTTTCTTTTCAAGTATATCAAATGACATGACAAGAAACAATTTTTCATAGACATCTGAACTTTGTATAGTTGAAGATGTAGGTGGTGGCCAAAATATATAGAGACACCCTGTACATCTTTGCTGATTGTTAAGTTTCACAGGAAAATCACTTCCAATGTTTTGCAATCGATCAGGTGTCATGTTTTCCTATCTGTTTCACTTAGCAATATTCATTCTTTCTGAATTGTATAGTTATAGAAAAAAAACATTGTTCAGTATGTATGTAGGAGTTGGTACAGTAAGAAACTTTTCTGATTATTCAACACAGTTTTGTTGATAATTCTAGATTTGTAAAGAAAAAACCAAAGAAAAAAAAATTTATAGGTGAAACAGATAGGGAAGTACTCGGGGAAGTAAGAAGATTAATCCAACTGTAAGAAGCAAGTGATCAACACCTGTAGAGGGCTCTCAGAGGTGTCATTTCATAGTCTTGAGATGTCTGACTGACGCTGGTCCTAGTGATTGATAATCATAATTTTCTAGATATTCTGATTGTTTTCTGTTATAATTGATTATTTAACTAACTGGACATTATCATGGTCCCACTTAATGAAATTCCGAAATTTTTTTAATTAATTCACATAGACAAAATAAAATTTTATTTAGGTTGATAAAATACAAACAAGTAACAAAAACCTGACTTTATATTTTCTTCAAAAATTCAAAAGCATAACAATAAAATATGCAATTTTCACTAAACAAACTGAAAATATTGATTGAAAAAAAATTCAAAATGCATATATTATGCAACTTATAACTCATTCAGAATCTCCACATGAGCTACTCTAAAGTTTGCAATCATCAAAAAAACTGCAGTAATTTTCATTGGGGACCTACATCACACTAGTGTCATTTTGGACATAATTTTTTCCTTTGATAGCGAGGCATCAGAATTCTTGAGAAAATTATCATTGGGAATGTTAAGGTTAGTTTGACAAAAAAAAAACTCTCATTCAATTATAAGTGATAAATTGGTGGATTTTCAACATTTCATGTATTATTTATACATCATTAGATGCAAATTGAATGTTACTGTTCTCATAGTTTTTTTCTAGCACAATAAGAAGTAAAACACACATTTGACACTAAGACATTGCAAGCAGATCATTCAATTCAGTGTTAAATAGCCTGCATATTATTATTGCTGGAAATATGATCTGCAGCAATCAAATTGCATGCAATGAAAATTTGAAAACTGTAAAGTGGTTCTTAGAAAAGTTAGTTTTCTACCTGTGGATGGGCATTCAGATGTTTATGGTCAGGTTGCCATAATGCCATTGGATTTTTCAGTATGAACTAGTTCAAATTTGAGGTGATAGGTAATGGGATTTCTTCCAACAAGAAAGTTTGAATTAATGGGAATTAATTGAAAGAAAGTTTGAATAAATGGGAATTAATTGAAAGAAAGTTTGAATTAATGAGAATTAATTGCTGACTTAAAAAAAAGTCATTTGATTGAGTCCAGGAATTGAATCACAGACTAATTTCTCATGAATTAATTCCTGCCAACCCTGCCAGAAATAAATGAGAAACTTAATAGGTATGACTAAGCAAAATATAAATAAGTTAGTCTTGAACAATATTCACCTGTTCTGCTGGGAATTTGTGTTCTCTATCTAACTGAGCAGCTATGGGTTTGAGTTCTGATTCTGCAAAATCTCGGCACGTTTTCTGAAGCATCAAATGCTCTTCTGATAATTTGTGCAGACTGAAACACCTTGTGAAGCTTTTTGTTGGACCTGAAACTTCCCATTATTAACATTGTCTTTTCCTACCATCACACATTATCATTAATTACCATTGAAGAGGCAGGTAAGTTTTTTAATAGACATAACTTCAGGAAAATTAAATACTCAATGATAGTTTCGTTTTTGCAATAGGTACAGCCTGGGGTAGACCTATAATGATGGAATAATATGGTTCTTTATTCTTTCACAACAGTTGCGACCTTCTGATATCAACCTATCTTCCTATTATGAAATATGTTTTGCTCTTATCACATGATAGCAGCGCAGTTATCATCACTATTGTTGGGGGTTTAAGATAAGATTCGTTCTCCTCACCACTTCAATGATTTCAATATGAATATGAATGGTCAATGTCTTACGGATCTATTCAATAAAAATGTCATAAGCCCTGGTCATAAGTCATTTGTATTCGTATAGATACTGTACAATTTTATGCTCATTTCACATTTTTTTAATATTCGTTAAGTTTCCAAATAATTATATGAATTACAATAATTCAAAATAATATGATAATATAACACGTCGGACGTCGCCCCACCTGATGGCACAACTGGAACACTTCTGAGCACTGAGCAGATAGTGACCAATGAGCACAAACGGTTTGTCTATGGCACAAACGGAAAACAAATGTGAACCAATAGAAAAAAAGTAAACAGTAGCTTCAGCAGCTGTCAAGAGCTTATTTTCAATCGCGATTGACAGTCTTGACACTGACAGACATTGACATTGACAGATTTCAAACAGTGGATCGCGACAGGAGCACTAGCACCCTTGCACTGGCATGAGGCTGCTGATATTTGCTGGCGCGTCCAAATTCGTTTTGCCCGAACATACGTATAGGTGATTTCTAAAGTTTCTATAGACCAAATACTGTCTGTCGATCCAATTACCACCTGCGCTAGTGGGCTGCATATAATTCGTCAGAACGTATTCTATCAACACCGTATTATATCAGAATATATTCGATCAAAATGGTAATTCAACAGAACCGTAATTTAACGGAGCAGTAATTCATCGGCATGCAAAACATCATATTTTATGTAACGTACTTTATAGAAATGGTAATTCATCATAACCGTATTCCATCAGAATGGTATTTCATCAGAATCGTATTCGGACAGCACGGTGAATCGACAAAACCGTATTAAATAAAAGAGGCAATTCATCAGAACCGTATTTCGTCGCTTCAGTAATTTGTCAGAATTTTATTCTGTCGCAATGGTGATATATCATAATGGTAAACTATCAGAACTGTAATTCTTCGGAATATTATTATGTCAGCAGTGTATAGTATCGTTACCGTAAAACATCATAACCGTATTTTAACAGAACTGTGAATCATCAGAACTGTGTTTCATGAGAACCGTAATTCATCGCTTCCGTATTTCATCAGCACATCAATGTATCATCATCGTATTCTATCAGAACGCTAATCCATCATAACCGTATTTCATCAAAACCGTATTCCGTCAGAACCGTATTGTATCAGCACGGTATTTCGTCAGAATGGTAATCCATCGTAGGTACAGTGCCCTATCGGGAACGGAGTATCGACTTTTTTGTCAGATTTTCAGGTATGCTATGAGATGGCGCTGGTGAATGCATGTAATTGGCATGTAAGATAAAAGACTCGTGAAGTAACAGATCAGAATAACTATTCTAACATGCAATATGTTATTCTGAATGAGATCTCGATAGAATTTCACCTCAAGGATAGATCGTATACTTTTCATATTCTTATATTGTTGGTGTTTGATAGGTGTTTAGAGAGGCAGTTAGTTCCAACTGCCTGCGTGCGGTATCAGTGACCAGGAATTCAGTTGTAGGTACCTACGTTAATCATATTGAAAAAACCCCTTATTCAATTTAGAATTTTCTTACACTCTGTAGATATGCATTTATCGAAATGTTGTATCTATACAAGAATATATAGAGAAACAAGGTGCTTTCAGAGTCAGAATAATATGAGCTCGTGACAAATTTCAAAATCATCAGATAAATTACCTAATTTTGAAGTTGAGAGTTCGTATCACCGTATATCCTGAACTCAGTCCGTTCTGTGATAGGGTGTCAGGAATTGGATTACGATTTCTTAGTTAGTTATAGGTAATCAATTATTTAGATTTTTTTGACCCATGGAGTACTTACGGTCGAATATGACCACATTATTCTTCATACCACCATTTTTAGACATCAGAATTATTCAACATTAGTTAGGCTGTTTACATCACACATATTTCATGAACCTGAATTCTCAAGTCACCAAGATGAATGCGGAAAACTAAATATTTCACATCTCCATTCAGAATAATGAATATATGTCATGCAGTTCTCACTCTGCCCGCAGTGAGATATAAAAAATGGAATCACTTTTCTTGATTAGTTATTTCAGTTGGAATGTTTTATGTTTCTACCTAATTCTTTGTTCATCGTTCGATGACTATTTTCATATTGTATCCACACTTCCCATTTTATTTGTTCTTCAACACTTTAACTGACGCAGTCACACAAGCCTTTTTAGTTCTCATGAGCTTGGACAACACCATGCACATATTCGTCGTTGCATACGTCAACAATTCAATGTATTTACCCACATTTTGCAAGCAATATCAAGGATATATTTTTCAGGGGTAGCTGGAATCCCCCTCAACATGTTGTTTTCAAATGCAACTCTATGGCATGTGACCACTCATTATTGGAAATCAGGTGGAAAGAGGAATCTAGCAAACGGGCGAAATTTTGTTTTTTCTACGTCCCCGAACATTTCTTTCAAAAATGATTTATTTAATTTTTTACGGTTTTTTCAGTTACTTCGAAAGAACACAGAATCGAAGGCACTGTATACAAATTCTATGTGTGATATATCTTCAAATCCAGCTTCGCATGGATATTTCATCAGCAATTGAATAATATTTAGGATGTTCTATTTGAAAAAATCATCGAGGACTTCATGACGTGAATCACCCTGTATATTTGTTTTCTGCCTACAAATGCGACCTGCTTCAAGAGATTCCTCAAAAATGAATAGTTTATTGGCTTAAAATGAATGTATCCACTATACTACTACTATACGAGAATCCTGCGTAGGTATTTGCTGCATACAAACCGTATGATGTATGTTTGAATTCAGCTTTCCATAAGGATTTCATAAATTGAATAATATACAGGGTGTTTCATTGGGAAAGGTAAATAATTCAACTGTGAATAGGAGTCACTGGGGTGATTTGAAAAAACCCATGGTTAATGGGTCTTCGACTTCTTATAACCAAGATACAGGATGTTTCATCAATTTTGTCCATATCTTCATTGTCTCATAACTTTCGAACCAACCTGTATATATTTTTAAAAATTGGTACACTTGCTCAATCTACCCTGTGGAATTGATTGAGGCAACGATAATAGATAAAATCCAGGTCCGGCTTCACTTGAAATTCACAAATTCTTTCTGCCAGAAAACAACACCCTATACATTCGATTTTTTCATTTTTTTTGCCATATCTGAAAAGAACATCAAAATTTCTATTCAACGATGTGCTTTTTATTCGTGCACAGACGATTTTAACTATTCATATTATGTGCTCAAAATATTATTTCTGCTCATTTTGGGGTTCAAAATTGGAATCAGACGAGATTTATCAATTTTATTATCACTTCCTATTCAGTATACGTGAGCATTACATTTAGAAGGAATATTCCATGTCGCGTTCTTTGTTCCAGACTCAGTTGCAGGTTGCAGGTCCGTCATCAAAACTATACAGGGCATTTCACGATAAGCGTTAATTAGAAGTTTCTGGCAAACCAGGCAACGGATGAATCTGAAATTTCGATGGTATGTATGAAAAAAATTCCAATACCTACCTCCTGTCCCTATCCTCCCTAGGAACGCACGATGTTCTTTGAACATTATAGGGATTCCCTTTCGTGCGCTCCAATCGATAAAAAAAAATTAACATAATCTACGCTAGGTACGTAAATGTTTGGAACGATCCGGCCTCGCCGCTTCTACTAGAAAGTAGCAGCAACTTCGATTTTTCAAATTTAATCGATTCACAAAGTTCGGGGTCTAGTGGGACTAATAACTGAGATATTTAAAGTGAGAAAAATCGAGATGTTTCAACTTCAGAAATGGTTTGTGTTGAAACTATTCATTATTGCATGGTCAAAACGGCTTCAATTGAATATTCAATTGAAACAGATACAGGTTGGTTGCATAAATCTGAAATAAGAATCATCCTGTATTTGTTTCGTTTGAATGTCAATAGATACAAAGTTAAGATAGGGACATGAAAGCCGTTTTAATCAATAATAAATATTTTCGCAAAATAATTCTAAAGCTGAAACATCTCGATTTTTCTCACTTTAAATATCTCAGTTATTAGTCCCACTAGACCCCGAACTTTGTGAATCGATCAAATCAGCTCTTCATGAAGCATCCAGGGTGTCCCCCATTTGGAAAATCAAAGTTACTGCTACTTTCGAGTAGAAGCGGCAACGCCGGATTGTTTCAAATATTTCAGACGTGTAGATCATGTTCATTTATACATACCATCGAATTTTTAGATTTATCCGTTGCCTGGTTTGCCAGAAACATCTAATTAACGCTTATCGTGAAAAGCCCTGTATAGTTTTGATGACGAACCTGCAACTAAGTCTGGAACAAAGAACGATATGAAATACTCCTTGTGAATGTAATACTCACGTATACCTACTGAATAGGAAGTAATTAAATTGATAAATCTCGTCTGATTCCAATTGTGTACCCCAAAATGAGCAAGAATAATATTTTGAGTACATAATATGAATAGTTAAAATCGTCTGTGCACGAATAAAAAGCACATCGTTGAATAGAAATTTTGATGTTCTTTTCAGATATGGCAAAAAAAAATTAAAATTCGAATGTATAGGGTGTTGTTTTCTGGCAGAAAGAATTTGTGAATTTTAAGTGGAGCCGGACCTGGATTTTATCTTTTGTTGTTGCCTCAATCAATTCCACAGGGTAGATTGAGCAAGTTTACCAATTTTTAAAAATATATACAGGTTGGTTGGAAAGTTATGAGACAATGAAGATATGGACAAAATTGATGAAACATCCTGTATCTCGGTTATAAGAAGTCAAAGACCCATCAACCATGGGTTTTTTGAAATCACCTCAGTGACCCCTATCCACAGTTGAATTATTCACCTTTCCCAATGAAACACCCTGTATAGAAAAAATTTACGCGGACATGATAATTATTCCAATTATTCCAAGAGATTCTTCAGAAATTGATAGTTTGACTGAAAATGAATTTATTCAGTACTTTACGAAAACACTGTTATGTCTGCCTTGCTTGGGGTTAGCACCACCAGGACGGTCTGGATACTGAGGAAACAGCTTCTGATTGTTACCCAAGTAACAATGTA